ACTGATAATGCAAATAAAGTGATGTTGACCTACTTGCACTTACTAAATATTCTTCTGCTGTTTAGTGCAAGATAAGCTAAACATTAAAGAATTTATACAGCATATGTCACAGTGAAATCTAAATTGTCTGGTGTAACTCTTCCTAAATGTCACAACAGTGTCACAACACACTCAGGGTTTCGGGGCTTATAGTTAAAGCCACAGTACCCTTATATAACCCCTGTTCTCATGTGCTTGAAACTTTTCTCCTTTTATTTCCTATAACTTAAATTTTGTATGTTTCACTTCAGATCATTTAATATTCACAAGTACATCAAGCTGGCCATGTGGCTCAGTGGTAGAGCACAGGCCTAGTCTGTATGAGATCCTGGGTTCTCTAGACTGCATTACAGAAATACAAATAACAAAATTTGCAAGTACATCTCATCATACAGAAGCATACCAGGCAGATAATGAGCTTACAGAATTTATAACCAAGGTTGTGACTGGATAAATATCATGCCACAACTTGCCTTTGAAACATGTAGGCTGACGTGTTCTCTTTTCCTTTCCTCGTTGCTGTTAAGGTTGTCCCTGCTGCCTGAGTTTAGTTTCTATTTTTCAAAACTGAGATGAGGCATTCATTTTGAAAAGTTAGATGTAACCACAATCACTAGAAGAGCTTCTAAATAAAACCAATAGTGTTGTTCGTTTTCCTACTTTAAGATAGAATGCAAAATTTTTTATAGAAATTAAGTACACTCTGTTTAAATTAGTTAAGTTGACACATTTTTACATTTGGATGTTATTATTCAACATATAAAAATAAATTTAATCATTTTCATTGTATAGTTTGAACATTTGAATTGCATTTTATCAGAAGGAATTATAGCATCACTCCTTTAAATGTATGATTATAAAAGCATGGTGGTTCTCGGAAGTAAAATCATATAATCTTGGATCTAAGCTTTCTCTGCCAAAACACTTCCACCTTTATGATAACCTGCAACCACAGAAAAGAATGTTATTGTTGTATTCTTTGTCAAAAACACTTATTTCCAGTGCACTACTTTCTTGTATGTAGAGAGCCAATCATTTGAGAATACTTGGCCTTTACCTCCCACCAACACTCTGTGACTTCTCTGACTGATGGATTTGGACAAAGACCAAATCCCTTTCTCAGACAGTGTAACTGTCACTGACTGTCACTTTAGATTGCATATGCCTGGAGAAAGTATGAGCTCTGATCTGCCCCCAGGGTAGAATTGTTGGGTCTGCAGCTCTTCCTTAGACTGGATAACTCTGTCTGACTCTGGGTGTTACATTAGAAAGATCCTTGTTCCCATGACTAATTGGCACAAATTTCAGTAGTTCTATCAGGAATTTGATCACCATTCCTTTGATTATCTTTCAGTAAGTTCAGAATTGGGTGAGGAGGAAAAATATATTAATATGCAATAAAAATTGATTTCTCTAGTGAAATTTTGAGAACCAATTTCTTCTGCATGATGTTAGATATAAATACATCCATAAAATCTACACACTCTGGTAAGTTCAGAAGTTTGGGGGTTAAATAAGAATCACGATCATAAGAAGCAGTCACAAAGAATCAGCTCATTGAGCAGTTCTTGGACAGAGATTCATGAGAGAAAATCCATCCTACAAAAGCGGCCACCAGCCAGAAATAGATACAGGCAGTGGGGAAGGGGGAAATCAGAAACGGGCCTTATGTGTCCAGGTAATGTTACTCAGCAGCAAGGTGGAAATTTCTGGGTCATAAAACTTTGAAAGACAAGTGTTTTTGGTGTCTTTTAGCTACAAGCTTTGTCTTATCTACAACAGATGTTGGGTGCAGTTTCATGGGGTATGTAAAGTAGATAGGCTGTAAATTGAAAATATGCTTATTTTTACTATATTTAAAGCATTTAATCTCATGGGAAGTTGTGTTTGGCATGGATGGGGTTGCTGTTAAGAAGTAAATAACATGGGGACCATTTTAGGCTAATACACAAAGACTGTCTATGCCTCATTTTTATAACAGTGGTCCAGTCGACTTGCATTTCTTTTAGAGGCTGTGTGTGTGTGTGTGTGTGTGTGTGTGTATTTTTCAGACTAATGCAGTGTTCTAAAGCTCTCTGAATTTTTTTCTGGGCTGGAAATGTTTGGTTTTGGCAGGAAAGCATGTGAAAGGCCCAAAGTGAAAAGTAGTTCTGACCAGATGAAAAGATGCAGTTCCAAAATCTTACTAAAGAGACAGCTGCCCATTTCCCTTCTTGTATGCACTGAGAAGCACATTTATTAATGGAAAGCTTCCTGGAGATACTCCCCTTCAGAGCAATGACCTTTGGTGTGGCTTCAGCTACCAACTTTGGGGTTTTTCTTTGACAGTGAAATTTCGTGTGTAACTTTGTCAGTGAGATCTGGGTTAGACCAGCCATGTTTCTAATGCTGTGTGTAACTCAACCCTGCCTTTTGCTGCGTAGGAGCAGGGGCTCCTTGGAGAAACAGCTGTCTGTCACAGGGCTTCTGCTGAAGGAATTTTTTCTACTTGGGTGGTGACTTTGCCTGTTTCTAATGCTGGTGAATGTAACTTCTTTGCTTTACTCCCCAAATACACCCCTCATTTTCCAGCTTTAACCGTGTCTTCATGCAGCTGACTGCCTATTGAAATCCTGGCCTCTGAAATCTTAGCTGCAACACCTTTGGATGACACCTTCATTGGCAATGTGGATAAATGTTTTGTAAGTCTGGTTTGTATTGTCCTCATGCTTTGACATGTGTCTTAGTTATTTTCTCATTACTGAGACAAAATACTTAACACCAAAGTTAAAGGAAGAAAAGTTTATTTTAGTTCAAAATTTGTAGAGGTTTTAGTTCATAATTGGCCGGCTCAAATGCAGGGCAGCATGGCAGAAGGGCGTTGCGGAGGGAATGCAGTCTGTGGCATGACAGGTAGAAGGCAGTGAGTGGCAAGCAACAATCAGCAGCAGCGAGCCTGCCTCACCTCTTCCCTTCATATTCCATCCAGGCTGGGAGCCTACTGAGCAGCGCCCCCCACACCCAGGGTGGGGCTCCCTTCATGCACACTCATGTCCATATCCACATTCCTAATGCAGCCACCTTTGAAACTCCCCACTGTAACCACATGAGGCTGTGGAGGGGGTATCTAGATACAAGTCACAAGACCAAGTTTGTTGTAAAGTGAGGAAGAATTTATAAAGCTATAAACAAAAGCCCAGATTCAGCGGGTGTTATCAGTTGCTCCCTGGACTACCTCCCTTTATTGTGGGTCCATTTTATCTCAGCCTTATGTGGGTTCATCTTATTCTCAGCCTTATGTGTCTCTTATGTTTGCAAGAAGGCTGCCAAATGCTCTTAGGGTTACAGTCTTTACTTACATCCAACAGGAAATCTGAGACTATCTGTTCCAGCATTCTCCTTAGAGTTCCAGAAATTTGCTACAGTTGGACCAGTTGAGATCATGAGCCCATTCGAGTCAATTATTGTGGCCAAGAAAAGTGATGAGTAAACTGGCATAGGCTTTAGTCCATGTCCTAAGGTTAGGAGGGAGTCTGAGACCTTATCCCTGACCGTAAGAACTGAGAATGGAGAGTGTACATCACTAATTGGGATTTATCCAGCAGGAAAACAATGGTCTATCTTGTGTTTTGGGCACTTTCATGTGAAGTGACCAAGAGAACAGTTACTAACGTCATTATACACTGGAATCATCTTTTCTGAGTTGGCTGTAATGATTGTGGTCATGAAGAATTTTTAAAGCAATTTAATTTTTCAGAAATTTCATATTGTTTTAGTATAGTCAGTTATAATTTGCTTTTTAAAATTTTCAGTAAGACTTTCAAAATTGTAAACATAAGCAATCTGTGGTGCATTTATAGTCCAAGAGGCTGAGGCAGGAGGGTCACTCGAATGCACAAATTTGAGATCACCCAGGATAATATAGTGAGAGACTCCCTGTTGCTGGGTGGGAGTGAGGAGCAGAATATGAATGTATATACATTCACAGTAACTATTTGAGAAAACAACTGGTGGTAATGATAATGACTTGCTGATGAGTTCTTTAGAATCCAGCAATGATTTCGATACCTCCCACATACATCATCCAAAGACTCAAGATGAAAATTTTAGGTTATTATTAAAATGAAAGTTTGACAAGAGAAAGAAACTCAATGTATCAATTTTAATGAGATTAATGTTTAGAAAATATGATTCACATCATCTAGATAACTCTGGAATTAAGTTAAAAATAATTCATTGAAGTCTATGAAAAGGTCTGTAATTTATAGCTACTCATTAAATTGATGAGATTGATTAAGCATATATATAGACAAGCTCAAGTCAACATATAAAATAGAGCTCTGGCCCACAGTATGCAGCAACAAACCTAGGAAATCAATCTGTTATGTGTAGCAGCCAGCTCAGGAATCTAGTCTGCTAGAAGTCAAACTTACAGGAAGTCAGGGGGGCTATTGCTAGTTAACTGACCTGGGAAACTAAACAGCAGCCTCTGTAACTACTGGCCCCAACTGGCCAAGATATGGTTAATAAATGATAATGTTCTCAGTTTTTTCCTGCTTCCATCTTAGAGCCAATCAAAGCAAATCCAACATGCACTTTAACTAGGACACAGGATGCCTTGCTTGCAGTAGCCCACCTGTAACTTTCCCTTGCCAAAGTCTTTAATCAGGCCCATCTTCTTAGATCAACATTACTTTTGCCTTGTAGATCTCTTGCGGTTGCAAAATGGCTGCCAACTGCTCTTGAGTCTTTGCTTACAAGCAACAAGAAAGGTCCCATTTTTTGTTGACTATAAAGCTTTTCTATTCCTCTGCCTGCTTTTGAATCTTTGTCAAAATGCAAAGGATAATGGTTATTCACTTGGCATATTACAGCAATCTCTGAATAGTTTTTCTTTTATTTAAATTATCTTCACTTCTTTTCATGGTAGTTACTTGAGTGAGATAGCTCAGACCCCAGAAAAAATTCAAGGAAGCAAGAAATTTGGAGCAAAGACTTTATTCCAGGCCTGGTGACGCAGTCTCCTTAGGATCGAACCAGAGACTGCACACCTAACAGACTAAGGGAGGGAAATTTAAAGCTAAAAAAACCACAAAGCTGTAAAGCTGTCGACTTAGTTGACTTCATTCTGATAACATCTGGAGCTCTTGGTGCATTCCGCTACTCCCACCCTGCAGTTAAACATTATCTTGGAATAGCACACCTGCAATAACATGCGGAAAGAGGATAGGGGAGTTAATTATCTCAGAACAGCTCGCTAGCAATAACATGCAGAAAGGGGGTAGGGAGTTACAAGAAGCTGAAACTTAAGCTTTTACAAGGATTAGAAACTTAACCCTATTGAGATGGCGCATACAGAACAAGACGGAGGCATATTGGTTAGAGTTAAGCCATAACATTCCCCTCTGATGTTGTGACTGAGGCCAAATCTTTGGCTTAATGCTATGGATCCTGGGGAATAAGTTCATAGGCTTGCTGACAGATCATCATCAACTTTATGTTCTGCATTTGTTGTCTAATATATGCAGTTAGTTTATTGATTATACAAGGACCTACTGAAATCAAGAGTAGCAACCCTAGTAATGGTCCAAGCAAGGGTAGAAGATAAGGCAGAATTCCATTCCAGATATTGTCAAAGGGGTTTTCAAATAGCTCTCTTCTTCTTTTTGCCAGGTCTTCCTGCAATCTCTTGATTTTATCTCAAACAATGCCAGACTTGTTTACATAAAAACAGCATCGTTCTTGCAATGCTGCACAGATCCCTCCGTGTTCTGCCCTCAGGAGGTCTAGCCCTCTTCTATTTTGAAGAACTACTTCAGCTAATGAATCTACTTGATCTTGAATGTCCTGAACGGTACTAGATAATGCCTGCACATCATTGATGACCTGGTTGGAAAGTTGAACAGAGACCCCCCACTCCTGCTGCCCCAATACCCAGGGCTCCTGATATTCCCAGACCCACCAATAAAGGGATAAATTGAACTGCCCACGTTGTGCAGCCTGTAATGTAATCCAGGCTCAGAATGGGGACAGGCTCGTCCCCAGGTAAAACCTCTATGTCAGGCAACAGGACAGCTGTAACACATATTCCTGACCAGTTGGTTGGGAGGAAAGTATGGGCCAGATTGCCTCCACAGATGAACACTTGTCCTTTGGCAGGACAAAGAGAGGTAGTCCGGTTAATTATAGAACTACAGTTAGCAAAAGCAACAAACCTCACATCAATGACAGAAGTATCACTATGAAAACTTCCTTGGAGACAGGGAGAGTCTTTAAATCCTACTGGTTGCACTCTAAAGGGGAGACCAGCACTACAATTTAAGTGATCTGGTTCTTCTGGTGTGGTCAGGGGGCATTGGAGGGGATTGCAAGAGGCATGGGAGAGCCTTGTGCCATGCATACCCAACAATCTTTAGCTAAAGTTGGGTTGGAAACATTCAAGGCACTATAAGTGGCTCCTAGAATATCAGAAGTCTGAGCACCCAAATCAATTCCCTGTGATTTAGGCAGCATCAAGGGGTGGTAATGCACCTAGGGAAATGTTATCTCTGTAATCTGTTTAACCATTTTTCAGCCATGAGTTCTCTGGTCTTATCCTGTGGACCACCTCCATCAGAGACATGTATTGGGGCCCCCTTACTTCAGCACACTGGTTTACCAATTGTGCCATTACATGAGGGTTGGGTATACTTTGAATTTCCTATTACTGTTGGAGTGATGGACCAGTCGCCCTCATCCCTTCCAATACATGTCCTCAGAAGCTCAGCAGTGAAATAAGTCTGTCTTTTCCTGTGCATTCCTGCACTGAGTCATAGCAGGAGGAATGCATTTGTGAATAATAAGGACAATCCTTAGGGCATGGCCCCAGTTGGCCACCTATTTTAGGTATCACGCAAGCTTTTTCTTTGCATTCCCACATTTGAGTTACTCCTGTAGTGGCAGGCCTAGTAACAAGAATGGCTATTTTGTTTCCACAATCTGTGTGACTGGTCTAAACAATTTGTTCCCCATTACTACCACAAAATTGGCCTCCTCCACAATCACAAGGACTTCCATACAAAGATTTTAACAGCTGACTCAGCTTACAGGAGGTCCGAACCCGCCATGTGAGGTTGGTAACAGTGCTATGAAAATCTCCAGTAGTGGAATAGAAGGGGCAAAGGCAAGCAAGCTAAAGCAGTACATGCCCGATGCAATCTAAGTCTAGTCAATTTTAATTTTAAGGGATTACCAGTCTGCTACACAGTCCATTGGGTATGGTGCTCGTCGTCCGCCGTTTCCAGTGGCTTTATGTGGGTATGGTGAATCCACAGAGTCTTTCCGGCTACCTTGACTGCAGTGGAGGTACTGAGCACCATGGTGAAAGGTCCTTCCCAGCGGGGTTCGAGGGAGTCTTGATGATGGCATCACACCAGGACTGAAGTACCCGGTTTGATGGAATTCTTTAGTGGTGTCTCCATAGGCGGGTCTGGGTGTTTTTGTCTACTGGTGGATGGAAGCCAACACAGGCTGGAGTGTCTGGAGGGACTTAATGAGATCTTGGTTAGTTATTTCAACTAATTTGTCCTCAGAGAGCTTTGGAACCAGTGGAAGGAGTCTTCCAAAGATAGCTTCAAATGGAAAAATTCCAGAAACATAAGGAGTACATCTAGCTCTCAGCAGAGCAAAGGGAAGAAGGCTCATCCAATTATTGCCAGTTTCTAAAGACAGCTTAGCTAAAGTATCCTTGAGAGTTCAATTCATACATTCTACTTGTCCTGAACTTTGTGGTTGATCAGCACAGAGAAGTTTCCAATCAATTCTTAATGCCTGGGCTAACTTTTGGGTGAGTTGGGCTATGAAATCTGGGCCATTATTGGACCCCATGGACAGTGGAAGGCCAAATTGAGGTATGATCTCTTGCAATAGTTTTCTAGTTACCACTAAGGTTGACTCAGACTTAGTAGGAAAAGCTTCTACCCAGCCAATAAAAGTACCTATTAATACTGAGAGATAGCGATGTCCTTGTAAACCAGGCTTTACCATGTCAAAAGTCTACTTCCCAGTGTTCTCCTGGGGCCATTCCTCAATGCCAGGTAGTTTCCACTGGTGAACTCCTGGTCAGGTTTACCAACAGACACTGTGGGCATCTGGAGCTCAAAGATGCAGTCAATTTGGAGAGTCTTGGAATGAAAAACCAAGTTCTGAACAATTAAGCAAGTTTGGTTCCCCCTAAATGGGTGGTTTGGTCAGCCTGGTGTAGCACCTCACATCCTAGTGCCTCTGGCAACAGCGTTCACTTATCTGGTAATTGGTACCAACCCACTGGAGTGAGGAGCTTTGCTCCAAGCTGAGATGCTAATTGTGAGTCTTTCTTCATATAAACTGATTCTGATAAGGTAGGAGGGACCAACATTAGGGCAGCTACTTCCTTGGTAGGCCCCTCTGATGTGGTTGCTATTTTTCGAGTGGTTTGGTCTGCTTAATTCCTTAGATGTGGGGTCTTCTCCTGTCTGATGAGCCTTGCAATGAATAATAGCAACCCGCTGAGATAGCCAGACAGCTGCCAATAAGTCTGGAATCTGTGGAGCATTTTTTATCTTAGTCCCAGCTGAAGTTAAGAGACCTCACTCTTGATAGATGACTCCATGTACATGTACAGTAGCAAAAGCATATCTACTGTTGGTATAGATATTTACCCTCTTCCCAGTGGCTAACTTTAATGCTTCAGTCAAAGCAGTGAGCTCAACCTTTTGGGCTGAAGGGCTCTAATCGCTTAACTGAGAGTACCTCTTTTTCGGTGGTCACTGCTGCTCCAGCCACTCATTTGCCGTCCTGGATGAAACTGCTCCCATCGGTGAAGTAGTTATCAGCATTCTCCAAGGGCTGGTCAGTAAGATCAGCCTGTAGATTCTGCTGCATCCCAAGGAGGTCTGCACACTCATGAAGAGGCAGATTTTGAGTTCCAGGATCATCATCAGGCATAAGGGTGGCTGGGTTTAAGACTGAGGAAGTCTTAAAAACCATCGATTCTGGGTCTAGGTGTAGAGCCTGATAATGCAGAATTCTAGCGTTCAAGAGCCACTTCTCAGGAGGGTTCTTGATAAGAGTTTCTAAACTGTGGGAGGTCACCACAGAAATCTTTTGTCCAAAAGTGAGTTTCTTAGCCTCCTTAAGTAACATTGCCACAGCAGCTAGTATTCTTAGGCAGGGAGACCAACCCCCTGCCTCTGGACCAAGTCTTTTAGAGAGGTGGGCTACTGTTCTCCTCCAGGGGCCAGTGTCCTGGGTTAGGACTCCTTTGGCAATGCTCCTGAGTTCATCTATGAACAAGGTGAATGGCTTGGTAACATCAGGGAGTCCCAGGGCTGGGGCCTCTGTTAGGGCTCATTTGAGTTGCTGGAAGGCCTGTTCACATTCACCTGTCCAGTCCAAAGATTTCTGAGTTTTTCCCTTAAGGGAGTCATACAGGGGGTGCGCTATCTCAGTAAAATTTAGAATCCACAGCTTACAGTATTCTACAGCCCCCAGAAACTCTCATACATGTTTTTTAGTTTCTGGGATAGGAATCTGTAATATAGCCTGGATCCTTTCCTTAGATAGAGTTCTCTTTCCTCCCTGTAACTCATAGCCCAAATAAGTCATGGTTTGTTGATACAATTGGGCCTTTTTGGCTGAAACCTTGTAGCCTAATTTTCCCAAGGTTCTTAGTAGCTCCCCTGTGGCCTCTTGACAGGACTCCAAAGTGGGGGAGGCTATCAGCAGATCATCTACATATTGTAAAAGAGTCACCTCAGGGTGTTCCTCTCAAAACCCCAAGAGATCTCTGGCCAGGGCCTCATCAAAAAGAGTGGGCAAGTTTGTAAAACCCTGTGGCAACCGAGTCCAGGTCAGTTGTTCCATGACCCCAGAATCTGGGTCAGTCAATTCAAAGGCAAAAATGGGTTGACTCACCAGGGTGCAAGAGGTGGAGTGAGGAAGGCATCCTTGAGGTCCAATATGGAGTACCAGGTGTGCTCTGGGTTGAGGAGGCTGAGTAAAGTGTAGGGATTAGGCACAGTTGGATATAAAGTTACTACCCACCTGTTGACCTCCTGGAGGTCTTGCACAGGGCAATAGTCAGTTGTCCCTGGTTTCTGGACTGGAAGCAGAGGTGTGTTCCAAGGGAGACACAAGGAATGAGGATACCATTGTCTCTTAGTCTCTGTACATGAACTTCAATTCCCTTTCGGGCTTGGAGACTTATTAGATATTGATGCAAACAAATAGGAGCCACCTGGGTGTAGGAGCTCTACTACAAGGGGCACTTGGTTGACTGCCAGTCCTGGGGGGTTACTTTCAGCCCAGACCTCTGGGATTTCTTGTCTTCATTTCTTTAAGAATTCTAGTTCTGAGATCTGGGGTGCCCTCACTGGCCTCTCTGCGTGTCTGGAGGACTCTGGATTTCTGCGCCCAGACTGCTGGAGTTCCCTCAGGCTTCCAGGTGCAGTGAAGGAGAGAGGTGGGTTTGAGGCTTCCACATCAGCCTCCCCATTCCCAGCTTCATTTGGAGACCTGCTGAGCTCCCGATAGGTGGGCTGGCCCACACTACCAGCCTAGCCCAGCCTGTTTAGCTGCCGCACCTGGCCATAGGTCTGCAGAGGAGGAGCTGGGCAGATCTGGGGTGCCCTCACCGGCCTCTCTGCGTGTCTGGAGGACTCTGGATATCTGCGCCCAGACTGCTGGAGTTCCCTCAGGCTTCCAGGTGCAGTGAAGGGGAGAGGTGGGTTTGAGGCTTCCACATCAGCCTCCCCATTCCGGCTTCATTTGGAGACCTGCTGAGCTCCCGATAGGTGGGCTGGCCCACACTACCAGCCTAGCCCAGCCTGTTTAGCTGCCGCGCCTGGCCATTGGTCTGCAGAGGAGGAGATGGGCAGATTTGGGGTGCCTGCATTGGCCTCTCCATGTGTCTGGAGGACTGTGGATATCTCTGCAACCAGGGAGGGTCCACAGGTTCTTGAAGCACTGCGGCCTGTGGTGAATACCCTAACCCGGCTGCGATTGAAGAACTGTGGAGCTTCCAAGGGGCAGGTGGGCACGCAGTGTCCCTGAGGCCCAGCTTGTCTGGAACTGCGGAGTTCTGAGCAGGCAGAGGAGGGCCACTGGTTCTGTAGGCCTAATGGCTTGGAGTAGCGCGGCGCCAGAGTCTCAGTAGCTCCAAACATAGAAGGGGATTTTCAACAGATCCTGAGGAAACATTCAAATAACACTTGAAACACAGAAATATAGGAAAATGACAAAACGAAAGACTAAATTACAACCTCAAACCTCCAGCCCATCTCAAGAAACCCTAGGAGCGATGTATATAGAAGAAAATATATCCCATCCACCTCATATATCGGACACAATAGCCACTGAAATTGACAAGCAACTCCAGGAAGCTTTAAAGAAATTCAAACTCGAAATAATCTCCCAGATAAAAGAAGAAATGATAAAAGAAATGAAAGAGATTCTAAATATATCTAAAGAAAACACAGATAAAAATTGGAGGAACTAAACAAAAAGATAGAATCCCTAGACGAGCAATATAAGAAACAAACAGAATACATAATGCAGATGCACAGAGATATACAGGAAATAAAAAACTCCACTGAAAGTTGTAAAAACCGCCTTAATGAAAGTGAAGATAGAATTTCAGACCTTGAAGACAGGATTGCAGCTAGTGAACAGGAAAGGAAAGATCTTTTGAAAATAACAAGGAACCAGGAAACAACAATTCAACAACTGCAAGACAATGCAAAGAAGAATAACATAAGAATGATAGGGATTAATGAAAGAGAGGGAGACAACATGAAGGATGTCAGGAGGATATTTAGAGAAGTAATAGCTGAAAATTTCCCAAGCATGAGATCAGAAACTGACATCAGGATCAGTGAAGCATATAGAACTCCAAACAGTCATAACCAAAATAAAACTACACCCAGACATATAATAATCACCATCCCAGAAATCCAACACAAGAATAGATTATTAAAAGCTGTCAGAGAGAAAACACAAATCACTTATAAAGGAAAACCTATCAGAATCACAGCAGACTTCTCAGCACAAACGATAAAGTCAAGAAGAGCATGGAGTGAAGTATTCCAGATCCTAAAGCAAAATGATTTCCAACCAAGACTGATATATGCTGCAAAACTATCATTCAAAATAGATGGTGCAATACGATACTTCCATGACAAAGAACAGCTGAAGAACTTCATGAACACCAAACCAACCCTGCAAAAAATATTGAAAGACAGTTTAGATACACAAAGGAAAAAACCACTAAGCAAAGCAAATAATTAAACAGAACAGAAAGATAAAGATGCAACAGCAGAGAGATAACATTCCTACAATTAATCAGCATTTAACAGTAATAACCATTAATGTAAATGGTCTCAATGCACCAATCAAAAGAAACAGACTAGCAGAATGGATCAAGAAACAAAATCCAACCATATGCTGTTTACAGGAAACCCATCTAACCCAGAAGGATACTCACACACTGAAAGTCAAAGGATGGAAAACAATTCTTCATGCAGCAGGAATCCAAAAAAAGGCAGGAGTAGCCATTCTGTTTGCAGACAACGTGAACTTTAAACCAACAATGACCATAAAGGACAAAGAAGGTCACTACATACTCGTAAGGGGAAAACTCCAAGAGGAAGAGATAACTATCTTAAATATATACGCACCAAACTCCAGAGCACCCAGTTATATAAAACAATTATTAACAGAAATGAAAACTCAAATTATCAGTAACACAATTGTAACAGGAGACCTTAATACACCACTGACACCAAGGGACAGATCAACCAGACAGAAAATGAGCAAAGAAATAACAGAACTGAATCACACCTGTGAACAAATGGGTTTGATAGACATATACAGAATGTTCCACCCAACAACATCAGAATACACATTCTTCTCAGCAGTACATGGGTCATTTTCTAAAATAGACCATATATTAGCTCACAGAACATATTTAAGCAAATGCAAAAGAGTTGAAATCATCCCTTGCATATTATCGGATCATAGCGCTCTGAAATTAGAAATAAATGACAAAGGATACTGCAAAAATTCCGCAAACACATGGAAACTAAATAACACACTCTTGAGTAATCAGTGGGTCACAGAAGAAATTAAAGAAGAAATTAAACAATACCTAAAAGAAAATGAAAATGCAGATACAACTTACCGGAATCTGTGGGATGCAATGAAAGCCGTTCTGAGAGGAAAATTTATTGCACTGAGTTCCCACATCAGGAAAACAGAACGAATAGAAATAAATAACTTGATGCTACACCTCAAACAGCTAGAAAAAGAAGAACAAGTCAAGCCCAAAGCCAAAAGAAGAGAGGAAATTATAAAAATCAGAGCAGAAATCAATGCAATAGAGACTAAGAAAACAATCCAAAGAATCAACGAATCAAAGAGTTGGTTCTTTGAAAGAATAAATAAAATCGATAAGCCCCTAGCCAACCTTATTAAAAAAAGGAAAGAAAAAGCTCAAATTCATGCAATAAGAAATGAAAAAGGAGAAATCACTACAGACCCAATAGAAATACAGAGGATCATCAACACCTATTTCGAAAACCTCTACTCTTAAAAGTTTGATAACACAGAAGAAATAGACAGATTCTTAGAAGCATATGAAGTACCAAAGCTAGATCAAGAGGATATAAAACTGTTGAATAAACCAATCTCTGCTAATGAAATTGAGAATGTAATTGGGTCCTTGCCCACCAAGAAGAGCCCAGGCCCAGATGGATTCACTGCAGAGTTCTACAAGAAATATAAAGAAGACCTAATGCCGACACTCCTCAAACTATTCAATGAAATTGAAAGGGAAGCAATCCTTCCTAAGTCATTCCTGGAAGCAAATATTACTCTAGTACCAAAACCTGAGAAAGACCCAACTATAAAAGAGAGAACTATAGACCGATCTCCCTAATGAACACAGATGCAAAAATCCTCAATAAAATATTGGCAAATAGGATCCAGCAAATCATCAAGAAGATTATACACCATGACCAAGTGGGATTCATCCCAGGAATGCAAGGATGGTTCAACATACGCAAATCAATAAATGTAATCCACCATATCAATAAAGCCAAAAATAAGAATCACATGATCATCTCTATAGATGCAGAAAAAGCCTTCGATAAGGTCCAACACTTATTCATGATAAGAACTTTACAGAAAATTGGAATAAATGGTCTTTACCTCAATATAATAAAGGCCATTTATGATAAACCAACAGCCAGCATCATACTAAATGGCCAAAAATTGAAAGCCTTTACTTTAAAATCGGGTACAAGACAAGGATGTCCTTTATCACCACTCCTATTTAATATAGTACTGGAAGTACTAGCCAGAGCAATTAGGCAAGAAAGAGAAAAAAAAGGGGTAAAGATAGGAAAAGAAGAAGTTAAATTATCATTGTTTGCAGATGACTCTACATAGAAGACCCCCTAAACTCCATTGAAATACTCTTAGATACAATAAATAAATTCAGTAATGTGGCTGGATACAAAATCAATACTCAGAAATCAATAGCATTCCTATACACGAACAACAAAATTACAGAGAGGGAAATAAGAGAAACTGGACTATTCACATTAGCAAGCAAAAAAATGAAATATTTAGGAATTACTCTTACGAAAGAAGTGAAAGACTTATACAGTGAAAATTATAATACACTGAAAAAGGAAATTGAAGATGATCTCAGAAAATGGAAAGACATCCCTTGCTCATGGATAGGAAGAACAAACATTGTGAAAATGGCCATTCTCCCAAAACTGTTATACAGATTCAATGCAATCCCAATAGAAATACCATCAACATACCTTATAGATCTAGAGAAATCACTCCTAAATTTCATCTGGAACCAGAAGAGACCTAGAATCGCAAAGGCAATTCTAAGCAGCAAAGACAAAGCAGGAGGCATCACAATCCCTGACTTGAAGTTATACTACAAAGGAACAGTAGTAAAATCAACATGGTATTGGAATCAAAACAGAGCTGAAGATCAGTGGAATAGATTAGAAGATACAACCACAACTACGAACACACTCAATCACCTTATTTTTGATAAAGGAGCCAAGCAGGTTCACTGGAAGAACGACAGTCTCTTTAATAAATGGTGCTGGAAAAACTGGCTCTCCATTTGCCGAAAACTAAAGCTAGACCCATGTCTATCACCACGTACTAAATTAAAATCTAAATGGGTCAAAGATCTGAATATTAAAACAGAAACACTAAATCTATTGGAAGACAAAATAGGTAGAAACCTTGGAGACATAGGAGTAGGTAAAGAATTCATGAACAGGACTCAAACCGCACGGGAAATACTTCCCAGAATCAATAACTGGGACCACTTCTTATTAAAAAGTTTCTGCATGTCAAAAGAAATCTCCAGCATAGTGAAAAGAAAACCCACAAACTGGGAAAAGATTTTAGTGAACTCTCTCTCAGACAAGGGCCTCTTGTCTAAAACATATAAAGAATTAAAGAAACTCAGACCTCCGAAATTCAAAGATCCAATCCAAAAATGGGCATCTGAGATGAATATGCAATTCTCAGATGAAGAAATGCAAATGGCAAATAAATACATGAAAAAATGCTCATCATCATTGGTCATTAGAGAAATGCAAATTAAAACCACACTGAGATACCATCTCACTCCTGAAAGAATGGCCAGGATCAAGAAAACCGACAACAAATGCTGGAGAGGCTGTGGGGAAAAAGGAACTCTCCTGCACTGCTGGTGGGAGTGTAGACTGGTACAGCCTTTGTGGAGATCTGTCTGGAGATTTCTCAAAAAGTTGGGACTGGAAATCCCATTTATTCCAGCTATTCCACTTCTAGGCATATTCCCAGAAGAACTGAAAGCATCATACCACAGTGATATATGCGCACCTATGTTTATAGCAGCACAATTTGTAATCGCCAGATCTTGGAAACAACCCAAGTGCCCATCAACTGAGGAATGGATAAAAAAGTTGTGGTATTTCTATACAATGGAGTATTATTCAGCTATAAAGAAGGATCACATTGAGATATTTATCAATAAATGGGCGCAGCTTGAGACCATACTCATTAGTGAAATAAATCAATCTCGCATGTGTGAATACCGAATAGTTTCCCTAATGTAAATAATGATTCAAATATATAAAAATATGTGGTAATCATGATTCCCCATTAGGTGGCCTTGAAGCCTTATGAAGTTTTCACTCATTAATTAGAAAGGCTTTATTCTGGGCTTCTTGATATGAAAATATTTGAAGCTAGAGTATATGAAGTTTTACCCAAATATTTCAAGGAAAAAGACACTATGGTAACTACTATTAAGTCAGGTTATAAGGTGGTCAAGTACTAGGTTGTTGAAACAGTCATGCTGTGACCTCTATTGTTATATTGTTATGTCCTGTTTTATCTCAATCTCCCCCTTATTGTTTCAAAAAAAATTATTTAGTCATTTCTTATGTTTGTCTTAATTAAAGAAAAAATTCAAAAAAATTAGGATATATAAATAGTAACTCTTTTCGATTTCCTATTAACTTGTTTTGAAGTCCTGTAGTACTCCCATGATCTTGTTTTGACTGATTAGACTCTGTTCCATTCTATATGATAGTATCAAGTTTGAAGACATAGGCAACTACTTTGAAGACAATAAGATTCACTAAGATACCCATTCTGGTTTGACTATTGTCTTCTTTGGAAGTCCTGTAATGCTTACAATGCCTAAGTTTTATTGGTCTTGTTCTCTACTGTTTTGTCCAACTTTATAATATCTAATAAGATAGACAATTCTTTTTAAGGAAACAAGGGACAACGTTGATAACCATTGTTGATAAACTTGTACTCTGTTCTACACCATGTGCTACGTCTATCCTTGGTATTGACTGACAGCTTTGTTTTGCCATATTTGACTGTATTCTCCCCCCCCCCCCGCCAAAGAAAGTAATAAGCACTAAGGAGTAATAAAATCCAAGATGTGTAAATTTTGTTGTAAAAAAGAGAGGGAAAAAAAAAAGAAAAAGAAAAAGAGCTCTAACGGATATAACAGCAAGTGTGTTTGGGGGTGTTAAATAGCTGACTTTATCAATGTTTTTGGAACATTGAACACAGCTGTTTGCAGTCTCCCTGTTTGAATGTCCACCTTGTGTTCTTTGATACTGTGATTTGAGGAACTATTTTCAAGAAAATAGTATGTAATCTACTAGCAGGTAATTTCTTACTGTTATTTTTTTTGTTTTGTTTTGTTTTGTTTTGTTTTGTAGTTCTGTATTGCGTGTACCCTTACGCCGCTTTGGTTTGTTTTGTGTTTTTCTCTTTTTCCTCTTAAATTAAAAAAAAAAAAAAAAAAAAGAATTCTAGTTCTAAGTCCGTAGGTGGTGGCTTAGGTGAATCAGACAAATTTTCCAGCAGACGGTAATTTTCTCCTTCTGGGACAAGGGCTAAAACCCTAACACTCTTTTCAGGACCTTGGTTTAAGCCTGTTCCCAATCTTAGTCTTGGTTCATTTGTCAAGAAATCAATTTGCACTTGAAATTTATGAAGGAGGTCTCATCCTAGGAGGGGGTCTGGACACTCCGGTACCCATAGAAAATCATGCCAGACCAACTTGTGGCCCAGTCAAGCTAAACTGGCGGCTACCTTTGGGTATGATCTTCATCCCCCTGTGGCTCCTATTATACAACTGAGTCTTTGGTCAGTTTTCTCAAGGGTTGGGTTAGTGCAGAATAGGTGGCTCCTGTTTCTGCCAGGAAGTCCACCTGGTGCCCCCACACACACTTGAAGAGTTATCTGGGCCTCAAGGGGTGGCAATGAGCCCTGACCTCCTCATTGTTGAGACAACAAAGCCTTTGCTTCTCTCTCAGGTTTAGCCTTTAACTTTGGGCAATCCTTTCGCCAACGTCCCATCTCTTTGCATATGCACATTGTTTCTTATCTAAAGGCGGTCGTTGTCCCTGGGCTTCCATTTTATTGGTATTGGCTGACTTTTTAGTTTCTCTTTCACAGAGTAATTCTAACACTTTGGTCATCTTCTCGTTGGTGGCTTCTTGTAAATTATCTCTATTTTCAAAAACCTTCTGCACTATCTTTATTAATTGGCTGAGGGGCATTCCCTCAAATCCCTCAAGCTTTTGTAATGTTCTTCTAACATTGGGGGCCAACTGGGACATGAAAGCAATATTAATTGCTCATGCATTCTCAGGTGCCATCAGATTAATTGGGGTATGCAATCTATATGTCTCTAGGAGGTGCTCTAAGAACATAGCAGGAGATTCATCAGCCAACTGTCTTACTTCAGTCACTCAGGACAAATTGGTGGGTTTCTTGGCAGCTGTGTGGAGCGCAGCTAGAAGCCTCAGGCAATAATCATCGAGAGCCCTCTTACCTCCATCCGTATTGGGGTCCAGTCAGGTCGGGAGGAAGGGAACAGGCATTCAATCTTCTGCTGATCGGTGGACGCAGACCCTTCCGGTCTCGGGCTCCTTTTTGCCCAAGAGTGCGATGCGCAGTCTTTCTTCAGCTGTGAAGAAGATGCGCAGGATCTATTGACAATAGTCCCAGCTGGGGTGATGAGTAAAGAATACAGATTCTAAAAGGTTAATCAGAGTTTCAGGATCCTTTGAAAAAGGAGGGTTCTGCATTTTCCAATTATAAAGGTCTGAAAACGAGAAAGAGTATATACAAACATTGAACCCTTGCTTGGAGCAGGGACCTCCTGTAATAGACAAATCAGAGCCACCTCAGAGTTCTGCTCTGAAGATGCCTTGGGTTGAGGGTGTCAACAGGTGTGAACAGGACTAGGAGGTGGGGACAGAGCAGTGGAATCAGGTTGGGGGTCAGAGGTGGGATAAGGGGGAGGCAGCGGGAGTACCTCTGGTGGATCAAGGGGGTCTTCGGAGGGCAGGATGGGAGGCGCAGTAGGTTCAGAAGGTGGCTTTTTGAGTTTTACTTTCGGTTTGAGGGCCGCAATGGCTCCATCACTAGAGAACTTAATCCAGGAAGGGGCAGCATGAATTATGTCTATCCAGATCTGAACATAGACAATTTGATCAGTGTGAGCAGCGGGCCCAAAAACATACTGGTGAGCGGCTTGTGCTGTTTCCATGTTAAAAGACCTGGAGGGGAGCCAGACCCCCTGCGTCCCTAACGGCTATTCCTGTGTGACAAAAGTTGTTAATCTGGTTTTATAAACCTTTTCCCCATATCCCTCCACTTGCTGCTTGAATTCTTTGAAGTGATCAAGCACAAGGCTAAGGGGCGTGCTGGATTTAGATTCACTTTGCTCCATGGCCGGCGAACATGTCAGTTCTCTCCTGTGGGAAAATCTAAGAGACAGAGATAAGATTAGGAGGAAGAGACAGAACAACAATGAGACAAAAATAATGGTCAAAATCCCTTTTGTCCATTTTGGGCTTGTAGAAGGGTTTTTAGGAGAGAACGTTGTTAGATTTGGGTAACCAAAAGGAGAACAGTTAGACCAAACAGACATACAGACAGACGTACAAGACAAGCTGCAGGGCCTTGGGCGTGTTAGTCATTAAACTACACTGCCAGCTCAGATGTTTAAGAAATAATGCAGCAATTCCTTCAGGGGTCTCATACTACTTCTGTCTTACAAATGAAACAACCTAAAACAAATGAGTAACTTATAATGAATGAAAATAAAAGTTAGAATTTGAACTTGACATTTTTGTTTCACAATTGATCATCAAAGAAACGTAAGACCCATAAGAAAAAATATGGCTATAATTAGATATTATTAAATCAAAATCTTAGAAGCAACAAGATTGAAATTCATGAAGTAAAGTATGCTTACTATGGATGATTTAATATTTGAGAAAAAATATAAAGATAAATGAAAAATAGCTATTTTATTTAGCTGATATAAAAATATCTAATTGCTATGTGCTTTGGACTGCTAAAGACTAGGTGGGAGAAAAAATTGTGTAGTTAGGCAAAAATAAAAAGACTAGTTCCTGTTTTAGACTGACCAGATCCACCTGAATAATTCACTTTACCTCTGAACCTCAATTTCTTCATCCTTTAAAGTGAAGTTTGTAACTTCTAGCTTGTAACTGCCAAGCTAGCATTGTGATTAACTGAGGCATCATGTGAATATGCTCTGTGACTGTCATCTGATGCACATCTGTTCCCTATTTTCCTCCCCATTCATGATGCTGTCACTGAAAGGGTTTTAGCCCAGACAGGACTCTGTAGCTAGGAAAGTCTCAGCCAGAACCAGGAAGCTCCTATCTCCCCCGCCCCTAGGAATTTACCTGTGATGTCATCTTCCCCGCCTCTGGGAACTTACCTATGGTGCCAAACCTAGGACCAATGGGCTACCTGTGCATCCCTGTGGACCCCTTAGATTCCACCCCAAACCAAGGCTACTTACATACCCCCCAACACCACGTGTCCACCAGATAGAAAGCTGGACTCCAGCGGCTGGGGGTGCTGGTTATCTCTCTGCATGTTCTCAGAATAAAGGCCTCTTTTGTTTTATACTTCTCATCTTTTGGAAATAATACTATCATCTGGTCCCATGACTCAGATCAGCAGGTGATTGACTCCTGGGACACACCCATTTTGAGTTCCCAGTTGAGTCCCCAGCCGATTCATGAACTGGATAACAACCTGGATTAATTCTGCGCTTTTTCCTCTCCCAAAACCCATTTGACTTGTCGCCAGCCACCCATATTCACCACTGGCCAGATTGATTTCAGGTGAGCACTCTCCAGGGAACTCTTGGCACTGGGCTCCGACCCAGTTGAGTTTTCTCCCCATTCACGTGGGTCTGTGGCACTTTCACATCCATAGGACAGCCCAGGGCAGGGCTTTTCTGGGCAAACCTGTGTCCACACTCTAAAATCTCTCACATTCTTTGGGTTCAGATAGCCCAAAGCAGAGATTTTTGGACCGCCCACACTGAAAGACCCTCACTTCCCTTAAAGCCTCATGCTTTCATGGGCAAAACTGTTACTGACCCCACATGGACTCCACTCATAAATCTCTCAGTGATGACTGGAATATATGAGTTTTTGGAACGTTAGCCACCGTGTGGTGCCACAAACGAGTGATGGCTTGTTCTGTGGACCACTGCTTATTTCTTGCCTGAATCAGTCATAGGAAACGTATTTTCTAACTCCCAAAAGATGCCTCTACAATGCCTAATTTCCAATTTACATACTCAAGATTAAAAGTACCATAAAGACTAAATGATTAACTTTTTACTGCCAGGAGGTCTGGCCAACCTATCCACTTAGTGGCAATTGTTGGCCCAGGGAAGGAACATTTGACCCCTGCATTCTCAGAAACTTGTATGATTTCTGTCAGGCTGGTGACAAGTTATTAGAATTCCCTTACATTCAAGCCTTCCTTGTTCTGAGAACACGCTTGTCTCTCATTAAGTCTTGTGCTCACACCCAGATACTTTTAGCTAACTCTACCATGCTGCAAACTTTTCTGTCCTGCCCTCAGAATTTGCTTGATGACATTTCCCTGATCTTTTCCTGGTCACCACCTGCCTACCCCCAAACTCATTCCTTGCTGTTACCTCCCACTGGGCCACCCTCCCCTCCCCCTATCCCTGATTGTCTCCGCAGCTCTGGTCCCTCTGTGCTGCAGTTACCCCCTGCTGTGCAATTGTCTCCCTCTCCGCCTTCCCGGAACCATCCCCCCCCCCCCCGTAGCTCTACTCTGCCCTCTGCAACATTTTCGCCGCCCGCTCACCATACCTGATCTCGTTTGTTTTGCCCTTCCAGAAAGCCACGTGATTGTTCCAGCTTGCACCAGGAACAGTCGCCATGTTGCAACCCTCCGTCACGTGACAGGGCGCAGCCATCTTGGGGTGGAACTCACGGTCAATGGGCGCCCCCTTGCAGCTCTTCTTGTGAACAGTAACAGCTGCCCTGTTGCAGTCCACATTACGCTTCATTGTGCTGCTGACAGCAATTTTCTCACTGCAAGGCACACAGTGAGATGCCATCTGCCTGTGTTTCCTCATCCCAGGGTGATTGGCAGCCGCTCTGTAGCCACTTTACAGATAATTGCTCACACGTGTCTACCAGACGGATGGCTGCCCAATGGCCCTCTGCTCTGCAATCTTCTCCTCAAGCTCTGCTACCACTTTGGGAGCAGGCTGGCCCCGAGGGAATTGTTAATATACATGTGCCTTTTTCCCTTTTCTGATCTGTCTCAGATTACCCATAAATTAGTTAGCTTCTCTGTTGACCCACAGAATTATATCAGGCAATTTGAATTTATTACTAATTGTTATGATTTACATTTTAGGATGTTTATGTGATTCTAAATACCACCCTCAGCTCACAAGAATGGAATCAGCTGTGGCAAGCAGCTCAAAAAGAAGCAGACCACAGGCACAAGGCAAACACCGCTGACAATGACCCTGGGCCTATTACTGTGCCAGAGCAGGATCTTAACTGGAACTATCAAAATGGACAAGGTTCAACAAAATTACATAAGATGATTAAGTGTCTGATTGTGGGCCTTAATAAGATTGCTCACAAACATACTAACTATAACAAACTTTTACAACAGGTCCAGGAGGCTAATCAAAACCCAGCTGTGTTCCTAAATTGGCTCTCTAATCCTTGTGCCCCACGAGCAGGTCCAGCTTCTCGTGCTGTGTTGGGTTGCCTCCCAGCCTCTTCCTCCCCTGTGCGCCGTCGCCACCACCTTACGCATTTCTAGGGACAGTCCTAGCCTGCCCCTGCGCACTACATCCAGATGCTCGCCCCACCCTCACGCTGGGCGTGCTCTGCCAGCACACCGCAAAGCAGCAGCCCAGCGGCTCCGCTCAGACATGCTTTTTTTTTTTACAATTCAGCTCTGCTCAAAAGATGCGATTTTTAAAATTACAATTCTCAAACCATTTAATCAAGGTTATTGGCCACCTGATAATTTTACCAGCCTTGTTTATCAATCAAAGCCTTCACCAATCTCCTGTTTAACAACTAAGGTTATAAATTCTTTTTTGCTGGAAACCACTAGCTCTGTTCCAAGACAAGGGTTTTGTTAAAAGTTTTAATGTTGTCTAAAAACAAAATTTTATTTGTCTTGGTTCATACTACTGCAAATAACAGGTTAAAAAAAGTAAATGTGTTCAAAATTTGACAGTATTAGATCAGTTTTGATAGATTTATTCATAAGATTGATAAACCTTTACTGCAAAATGTTTCCATTAAAATGAGATTATACTACAAAAGGAGGATGGCAGACTAAAGCCTTTTTTGTTAAATATATAGTTCCACACAACACCCTAAAAGCCATATGACATCCAGATAAAAGCCTGCTCTCTTATCTAAAATGCTAAACAGGCCACTCAAAGAGGGCAGTGGGACCAACACTGCAACACAAGCCAAACTTAAACCTTATATATATGACATAAATAATATGGCAGTTCCTAAAGTTCTCTAGACCTTGTCCTCCTTATGGGAAGTCATTACTAAGGTTATAAATACCCTGTTAAATATATTAAACTCCTACATACTTACTTAATTCTACTATAATCCAAGTCCCAAACAAAAAGGCAAAACTTGACCTTCAAACCTATAGAAATCTTAATATGGTTTTTCCTATTTTAACACTTTGTAACATTTAGAGTTCTGACAGAGTTCTATACAAGGTAGAGCTGTCTGTCCCCCCACCATGGGCCATGCTCAAATGCAGCAGAAGACATTGGGCAAGAGAGGGTGCCCCATCTTGGCATTCTTTGAGATCTTACTCCAGGGCTGCTGGGCTGTCCTAACCACCAGAGAGTGGCTAAGCCATCCTAACCGCTAGCCCTCACAGGAAATGTCCACACTGCAAGATTTGTCGCTGACAGATGAAATTGCTGCTGAAGACTGAGGGGCTCAGGCCCAACACAGCCTGCTTTGTGGGTGTCCGTCTCACAATCCAAGTCACATTAAACTCTCAGGTAAAATGTTCTCTATATTTATGGACATAGAGGCCATATATACAGAATTCTTCCTGAGTTTTCAGGCTGCTATATTAAGTCCTCAATCTCTATGATGGGGTACTGGAGGTCAACCTATGCCATTTACAAACAGGGCCTACTTCATGCAGGTCCCAGTCCTAAATCTTAAAATGCCTTTTATACAGGCTGACTTAGACACACTGAGGCCTCAACAGCTTCCACCTGTTATTGCTAGTAAACCTCTCCTCAGTGATGTAAGACCACACCCTTCCTTTCTTATTCACCAATTTCTCAGGTAACCCTGGTCAAGACTGGCAGATACATTTTGTCTTCTCACTTTGTTTATACTTTTTCAGGGTACATAAAAGCCTTTCTCACAACCAGGGAAACTGCTCATATACTTGCTAAAGTTCTGTTGCAGCAAATCATTCCAAGGACTACAACCAGGTCACAGCGACCCGTACCTGATACTCTTGGTAACCTCAACAGCAATCAAAGTTGCTAGACTGCCATTCAGGCCCTAGATCTGACCATCCCTTTTCTACTCATCTCTGCCTTACCAAGGCCCCACAGCCACAACTCTCAGGCTGTCATGTTTTGTTATCCAATTTGGTTTCTAATTTCTTATTCTTTTTATAGCAGGACTCTCAACAGTATTTCCTAAAGACTCCCACATCATGTGTAAGATAATCTTCATAATGTTCTATGTGATGACTATCATAGTTCTTTCTACCCTCAGCTGTCTGGTTAAATGTGACATCTCTGAAAGCCTAAGCCCTTACCTTCCCTATACTGGTACAGCCATGGCCTTTCCCACTTCCCCTATTTTTTCCAGTTCAACACCTGGACTGGAGACAAGTTTTACACACCTACCCTCTTAACTTTTATGCTTTCAGATGGGGGAGTAATCACCTCTCATAACATCATTTCTCCTAACCTCACACTTAGTTTTCAGAATTCTACCTCACTGAGACAATGATCCTACTTCAACATCATCCTGATATAATGACATGTCTAAAATCAAAGGCACTTTTCCCTCTACCTCACCTGGGTCCTTAAATATGACAGAGCCATGTCTCCTCATAACATCATGTCTCTTTGCTTTTCTAGTCTAACGTATGTGCATTCACCAGTGAAGTTGTCCTGGCTAAAACACTTGGCACCAGCGTCTACCTGGGCATCAACTGTCATCCCATCAACTCTCCTAGGCTCCAGTGCAGCGCCCTCTGCCAGCAGGAAGTAGTTAAAGAGAGAAATCTTCACCCCTTTTCATAATAATAATCATAAGATGGAATATGAAAGGGTTTTGGCCCAGACAGGACTCTGTAGCCAGGAAAGCCTCAACTGAACCAGGAAGCTCCTATCTCCCCTGCCCCTAGGGATTTACCTGTGATGTCATCTTCCCTGCCCCTGGAAACTTACCTATGGTGCCAAACCTAGGACCAATGGGCTACCTGTGCATCCCTGATGCCCCCTTAAGTTCCACCCCAAACCGAGGCTATTTACATACCCCTGATGCCATGTGTCTGCCAGAGAGAAAGCCAGACTCCAGAGGTTGGGGGTGCTGGTTATCTCTCTCTATGTTCTCAGAATAAAGGCCTCTTTTGTTTTATACTTCTCATCTTTTGGAAATAATCCTATCAGTCACTGTCAGAATCGTAGCTGTACACTGGTGGCATAGAGTCAGCACTGCTGATTTGCCAGTAATTTTTCTCCCTAAATTGACTTTCTCTGCAAATGTTAGTCAATACAGGTGAAGTAAGAGATGTGGTGTTAGACTTCAGGAAGCATTAATTCTAAAAGGAAAGAACAACACACATAATGAGGAAAGGAAAAAAATCCGAGACTGAAAATCAATGACACAGTGTTGGGTACTGAGGAAATGAAAAGATGGGTAAGTAAATTTGAGGAAAACATAAAGAATAGGTGAATGTTGAGATAAACCTGAGCAGAGTAGAAAGTTTTGTTACCAGGGAGGAAATACAAAACCTAATTCAAGAAGAATGTGTAAAGGCAAAGAAGTAGAAAGAGATAAGTGTTTAAGGGATAATGAAAATAAGCCTAACTAGCAGAAAATCCTTTTGGGAATGAGAAAAAATAGACGGCACAATCACGGTTAGATTAAGAGTGGTCTTGACTTTGTCAACAGGTGTATCTGAGTACGTAAATGTTGATGCTTGCAACAGCCTATATCTTCTGTTAAGCCAAAGCAAAAACACTCCTCCCCCAAAATAAAGTCCAATAAAACAAAAATAGAAGGAAAGAATAAAGCTTAGAGTGGCTTAGAGTGGCTCATGATGCCTTGCTGGTCTATGTCTTTTAGATCTATACCCACTCTGACCCCACTTCCTATCACTATCCTCTGGCTAAATCAGCCCCACTCACAGACCTCCATAGTACTTTGCTCTTCCTGTTTTTCTGGTTGGCATGCTCTTTCCCTGTATATCTTTTATCATTTTTTAAAGTAGAAAAATTTATTGGACAAAGGGAATGAGGACTAGGAATGGGGAATAGGAATAGCTCCGGAGAGACAGAAGGGTCCCAAACGGGTTGCCAATGAGTCCACCTCTCAAAAGAATTTTATAGAGCAAAATCATGAAGCAAGTACAGTGTGGGTCAATGTATATTTAAGTGTATAAGGTAGAAAATGATATCACAGAGTTTTATTGGATCATTGAACAGAACTGTTTGCAGTATCATTGTTGAAATGTCCACTCTACAAGCTTTAATTTTGTGACTTGAACAATTATTTCTAAGATGGCAATATGTAATCCATTAACTAGTGATTTCCTACTGCTCATTTTTTTCTTCTGTAAATCTGTATAACTTGTACCCCTTCACTGTTTTTTTTTCTTTTCTCCTTAA